GGAACTGGCCACGACAGGTAATAAGATGGATTGTCCTTTACTTTCCTTTTTCCCTTGAGAGTTCTTGTACATTTTTGAAGTGTTTTTGCTCGTTATGGTACTGAAGAAATTATGTAGTTTGCCAACATCCCCAGTGCATTTATGGTTAAAAGCATGTAACTAGGTACCACCAGTATTTTCAGGGGTTGGTTCTAGTTTTCAAGCTGCAGTTCCTTTCTAAATGATTAAACACTGTTGTAATTACTTTGAGGTTTTAGAGAACATGATACTGAATCTTAAAATTTTTTCTTTTCTCATGTTCTGATCAAGGAGAGCCAAGATATTGCGCCTGGAAGGTGCGATTCTTTGAAAAATAGCAAATTTCAGTGTTTCTGGCTAATTTTACTATAGTCATCAAAAGACAATAAATAAAATGTATTTAATTCCAAGACAGTCCTTTTTCATCTTAATTCCTTCAGATATATGTGTAGTTGAAGAAATTTGGCAATTTTCTTGCTATTGTCAATCAAGTAGAAATATACTAGCCAATAAGGTTACACTAATAGATTTCCAGGTTTTTCCTTCATTTACACAGGTCTTATTTCCTGGCATATTGGTTTAGAACAGGTAAGCACTCAGGTACTTGTTTTAACTGGAAATAGACCATGTGTCTGTACCTTTTTTATGGATACAAGAAGTTTTTCTTCAACCTTATACATAAGGTTACATATCACCTGAGTTTTAATTACAAGTTTGGAAAAATATGTGAAATAGGCATAAAACAAGTTTCTCCGGCTGTACGTTACATTTTTATAACAGCTGAATGTGGTTAGTTTGACCAATATACAGTACATGGTTCTCCCACATCCATAATCAATTAAGTTACTGCCTTTGGTGTTAGGGGTCACCACATGAGGGTCTCAAGGTAGTGCTGCCATATACTGTATCCATGACCTTGATAATCAAGGTCTATTGTTTTTCATACCAATCAAGGTGATAACAAAATTTCTGTTAAAATGACCCTGTAACTATAGAAAAACATCACAAAAGTTTACAACTAACTTTCTGAAAAGGTCATTTTTGTGCCAGAGTAATGTTTGAGTCACTTATAAGGTAATTGAATCACAAGCCTAGGCCACGCTTGCATGATGTATTGCAATGTACACGAAGCCCTACAGTTGCATACATGTATGTGCATATATACATGTAGCATTTTCAGACAAAGTTAGTGAGTATTTCAAGAGGGGTAGAACTACGCTGAAAAAGGGGGGGCAGGCAAATTCCAAAATAAAAAGGGCACTTCCTGTACTCATGCCTTTGATTCTACCCCTGCCTTGAAGATGTTCATACTATTTGTTATTTTTTCAGCACCATGGCACCAAAAAAGTATGATCTGAGGGTGAAATTAAGGGCTGCAAAAGCTCAGTCTGAGGGAAAATATGTTAACTGTAATGTTAACTGCGAGCCATAAAATATGACAAAATGGTAATTGTATAATTCTCCGGCTGTACGTCATGTTTACTAGCTTCAAGCATACACTGGCTCAAGGCCATTCAGGAACAGGGCTAAATATTGTTATGGATGTTTGATGAGACCAGCACAATATTTTAAAGAGGTTTTCTGACTTTGAAGTGGGCTGTACAAATTTCTATAGGAAAGTAATGACTGACATTTGCCAGAAACGCTCATATCATTCTTCAGAAACATAGTGGTACCTAGTTACATGCTTTGGGCCTTATGTAATCACCATCCCCCCTGGATATTTACATCCAGGCCTCCACATCAGCACCTATAACAAACAAACTATTAAACTGCTGGTTAACCTATAAAGGACTAACTGGTACTCTCTTGGATTTTAGGAGGCCCACCCAACCAGCACTGGCGCCCCCAACCAAACTTCCCGACTACCAAGACAACCATTACACTAGGTGAGTTGCGTCCTCTGAGCCTGAGCTGCCTGCATCTCTGCTCAGCATGAGTACTGATGTGGAGGCCTGGATGTGAATATACAGGGGGGGGGTATGAGTACAAAAATGCACTGGGGATGTTGATGTAATCTCACAAAGCCATAAGTCACATTGATATATCAGAGCACAGATGTTTATACTTTGAAAAATACTTTGTTCTAACCATGACAGCGGAAGTACTTCTGGTTCATTAGTCTTGCTTATTCTTGCTAGCTTCATGGTACTAAGTGCCGTAAGTGAAATAGCTGGCGGACTCGGAATGTGGAAGAGAGTGTGCATATAGGGGACTGGATTTTAGAGATGCGTCATTTTCATGATTTAAATTATTTTAACCAAAAATTATTAGTGTTTGAACTCGTTACCTGACTAAGTAGGTGTGTGTTTTTAACAAATATTAGTAGCTAAGGTACAATATTGACATGACTTATTAGTGGTATTTAGCTTACTCCTTAACACTATTTAGCCTAAATAATGGGCTGATCACAAGTGGGTGATCAGAACTAATCTTCTAAGTGAACTGAATGAAATGAACTGTGCCCCAAAAAAAAGAGTAATTTTGCCCATCACTAAAAGGCACTGGTTTAGTGAATAACACTCAGACCTCCATGGTTGGGGGCTTGACTCCGCCTCTGCTTTTTGTTTGGGGAGCTTACAGGTTCTCCTCGTGTAGTGTGCATGCAGGAGCTCTGTGACCTGTCCAGGGTGTACCCCTGTCTTGTGCCCTATGATGTCTGGGACCCTGACCAAAGTGAGTAGTAGGAAGGTGATACTCATTGCACTCCTCTGTTCCTGTCTCTCATTAGGTGAATTTTTGATAAAGAAGGCAACATACATTGTCACCTCGGTTGTCGCCCCGCACAACCAGAAGAACAGCAATGTCATCCCGCACAACCAGACGAACAGCATTGTCATCCCGCACAACCAGACGAACAGCAATGTCATCCCACACAACCAGACAAACAGCATTGTCATCTCACACAACCAGATGAACAGCATTTTCATCCTGGTGTCAGAAGAAGACAAGCGGGAGATCCAGAGCCCCACCATCGTGATTGTGGTGCCCGTCCTTTACTCGGTCGCATTCCTTGTCGGGCTCCCAGCGAACATTCTGGCCCTTTGGGTGCTGATCTTCCACACGGAGAAGATACCATCCAACATCCTCCTCATCAACCTGACAGTGCTGGATGTGCTCCTCCTTCTGATGTTGCCCTTCCGCATCACTTACTACTTTGCTGGTTTGAACTGGTTCTTCGGTGAGCCACTGTGCCGACTGGTCATAGCTCTTCTCTATGGTAGCATGTATGGTTCAGTACTCACCCTAGCATTTATCAGCATAGACCGGTATATAGCTCTGGTTCACCCCTATAGTGCTCTGACCCTGCGCAGCCATCGCACCTCCCTGGCCATGAGTGTGTCCGTTTGGGTGGTGGTCCTGTTGGCCATGCTGCCCCTGTTACTCTTTCGCCAGTCCTACCAGCTGAGCGACCCTCCCATCAACACCTGTCATGATGCCCAGCTTGAGCCTTTGCTGACCACTTTCTATGTAGGCGCAGTGCATGTGGAACTCAGCCAATGGCTGAGG